TCTATATATATATAATAGTTTCAAAATTACTAGTTGTGAACTAAGGGGAGTGGAGTTCTTGCTCCTGTCTGGCTATTTCAGATAAGTGCAGAATGCATTGACTATAGGAGAGCTTAACAAGTGCTTTCTTTTGTTCATTTAAAAATGTCTTAAATTTTTCATTAGAGTATAGAATCTTATTTTTTTTATTTTGTACAAGCTGCGCTTTTTTAATTATACTCACTGAAAAATTCACTATAATTTGATTTTATAGGATTTTTGTAGCATTACAAAAATATAGTAAAACTGAGGTTAATACCTGTTGTGGCTAACCATATAAAAGTATTAAATCTTAAACTTGAACAAAAGTCATATTTTTTTTTACTAGATGTTAAATAGGGAAATATTTTGTTCTGCAGGTCATTATCACAAAAGGTTTATAGGTCAGCTGTGTTAGCAGCAGTTTTTCTTTTCCCATTTTGCAGAAACTATTCTGGTATGAGATACTCAGAATTTCATCATTTTTCTCTGTGGGAGTGATGCATACATTTGATGCCATTCGTGTACTAAATTGTAATTTTGGGAATGCTGGAATAATTCCTACCAAGACTGTCTTAATTGTGCCATCTGACATTTGAATGTCATCCTGGTATTAGCTCATAATAAAATATAAAATTAAATGAGTCAATTGTTCTTTTGAATATCCCTTTTTTTTTTTTCTTTTTTTTTTTGGTCTTGTTGTCTAAACTGAACTGCTGGAGAACAATTAATTGAATCCACTCTTAACTATCCAGTGGATGTTTACTTTGGGTCTGTTATATTTTTAATATTAACTCCCAACCTGCTCTCACTCTTAATCAAAAAGTGCATCAAGCATTGAGGCAGACTGCTGCTGTTCTTAGGACAGATGCTTGGGTTTTGGTTATTTTTGGAATATTCTGTCTTTACAGCTGTTCCATTTTCCCAGCTTAGAGGGAAATCTTTACCCTGTAGGGTAAAGGAGGAGAAGTTAAGAACAAGGCAAATTACTTAAATATTCTTCTGCAGATCCTTGAAGACATGATGTGTGCAGCTCCTATGTATGAACTTCTATAGATTGTTCTCTTCTAGATTAACTTGGCTTTGTAGCTGTCTTCAGGAAATACACTTGAGCTGCCTCAGTAGAACTGAAGGTAATCCCTCTTCTGTTTTTCATCTTTCACAATTTATTGGAACTTAAATATTCTCAACTGCTGAATAAAATAGATGTGAATGGCAATTAAATGCAAATTTAAACCTATGCTAATCCAGTGAACTGTTTTTATTCAAGAAGTATGTAGACTCTAAGTGCAACTGTGGATCTAAATCACTGTCTTGTCGTGACAGCTTTGAAGGGAAAGGGAGGGAGGAGAAATTCCACTTAAAACCTAATAGACCTGACAGATGGTTCTGATGCCTTCACCTGGGTTCTTGGGCTCTTAAAAAGTGGCTGTTGATTGTCATGTCATCTCCTCTCTGTTCTGTCTCCTGCAGAGTCACAGATGTGCTGAGTGTCTGTGTGTGTGGAAAGCAGGGCAGCTGCCCAGGCCTGAGTGGGCTTGATGAAGAAGAGTTGCATCTTAACAGACAGAGGGGCGGCCATTCATGGATGTAAGTTACTCACTTTATTCCCTCTCTGTAGCTGAGAATGACTTGTGTAATTTATGAAGTGTAAATCTAATCTGGTCAATCAAAATTTCTTTTTAGTGCTTTGTTTTTTTAATAAACTGTGTTTGGTAATATTACTGGGTTTGTACAAATTTCATTTTCTCTTAGAAAAAAAAATTAACAGGAAGAGAGAATAAAAGACATTGTTCCCTGGTCCAACCTCTGAGTAATATGCACCTTTATTCTAGTAAGGTGGTGTCACTATAAAGACCAAAGGGATCAGCAACAGCCCAGGGTTTACTTAAAGCACTGATACCATGTTTTGTTGGCCTTTACAGGCCAGATGACACTGTCCAGTTCTTGTGTTGATGTTTTTTTTATTAACCACAGGTGTAATACTTCTAAATTAGTCTCCTATTTTTTAGTAATAATGCTGGTCTTGTATACAGTCCTCAAAGCTTTAATTCTTCAATGTGCAGCATCTGTCTCAGATATTAAACTACCTATTGAGGTAAGTAGCTTGTTTTTTTGTTCTCTAGCAAAACAGTATTTCCTTCAGGTTGATTTCTTTCAAATTTCCCTGCATACTCTGAATGCATGTGTGTAAAGCAGCATGTTTCTTATCTCTAACTTCCTTCCTAATTAATTTTCTGTCTGCCAATCCAAGTTACTGGCCCTGATGGACCACTTCAGCTTTGCACTGTCATAGAATCATGGAATTCCATGGATTTATAACAACAACAAGCTTCCTTCTCACCATTCCCTGCTACATAAGCAGGGGACAAGGCAGTAAGAAATCATACTTGTTTCTCAGATCTTTTCCCTTGGTCAACAAGGTAGGTGCCCTGCTTTCAGGGGAACTGCTGGTGTTAAGCAGCTGGTACATCTCAGAATCTGCACCTTTCCAGTTGAATATTCCAGGAATGTGATTTAAACCTATTCTAAAAAGATTTCTGAAGGTCTCACAGAGTACTGCAATTCTGATCAATGGCTACTTGTTCCTCTTGGCAATTAATTGAATCAATATTCAAGTATTAAGATGTGCATTTCCCTGCTCTAATATCATGTCCAAGTTAATGATTTTTAGCTTATATCTTCTCTGAGAGGACTTTCAAATTAAAGTGATTAAGCTGTTGGTATTAGCATTGCAGGAAAAGCTAATCAAGGATAAGTTACAATTTTTATGTTGCCCAGTATTTTAGAAAGGGTTAAGTCACTACACCTGCTCTTCTTAACTGTGTATCTGACTTAGTTACACATTGTACTCTCCCAGGCAAAGCTTTTTTTAAAGGTCCCATGTGTTGACTAAATCAAATACAGCTCTCAAATTGTTTACATAGTACTCATACAAAACCTGCATGAAGAAAAAAAACTTAGAACACTCTTTTAGCCAAACTATATGTTCATGATTAAGTTTGGGAAAGTCTAAATATGATTGTGTCAGCTGCTGAAGTCTCTGTGGGCTCATCAGGGATTCAGAATCCAGCCCTAAGTTCCTCCTGCTCTTTTCCTGTTCCTTGACTGCTTCAGTTTTTGTTCATCTCTCAAGGGAAGTTCTGCTGCAGCAGCAGTTGAAGTACCAGCACTGATGAAATTTAGCTAACAGACAGTTCTGATCAAGCACAGCTCAGTCTCTCTGAGGAGACACAGAGCAGTTTGTTCTGACCATACTGGAGGCACAACCCCATTGCAGCACAGCTCTGGCTGTGGCCAAGCTCTCATTCTTCCTTTCCACCTTCAGGTCTGCTCTAACACCATTCAGCTGCATATTCTCCAAAGCACCTCACCTGCTGGGAAAGGCTGCTGTGAGAACCACTCTTTTCTACTCCCGTAAGATTCCAATTACAGACTTGGAAGCTTTTGCCTCTTTAAGCTTGAGTCTTTTTCCCCAGTCACTCAGCTACTGTGGTGGAACAATCCTAGGACACATTCACTCAGAACTGCAGTGAACTTCCAACAGAAATACAACTAGCAAATGCACAGCATGCTATAGCAAAACCTAGCTTGAACATAAAATGATACCTCTTAGCTTGACTCTTCCATCTCATTAGACTTTTCATCCAGAATTCTAAATTCTACTTCTAAAAATTATACTTTCAGCTGTACCTTTAAGGGCACTCCCATCATGTCCTGGCAGCCCTTGATATCTGGCTGTGTCACCTGCAACTTGATAGGACTTAGTCACTACCTGGCCAGTTGAGTTGATACATCATTCATCAAGTAAGTGGGTAACTTTTTTCCCCCCTAATTTGGAAGTTTCCTAAGGGTCTTCAGTTAGGACAAGCTCACATTAATGGCAACTCAGTTTAATTTTGCTGTAATAGAATAACTTGAGTGGTTTCTGGTTGCTTTTTTTTTTTTTAGGCTTATCTGAACAAGGTGAAAAAAGACAAGCAGGAAAAAAGGTGAGATTGTGCATAAGTTAGCTCTATAATTAGCTTTAAGACTAGTCATTAATAAGTTGTAGCATTTGGAGGGCTTTTTTGTTTTTCAGATACATGAGTTTTAAGATAAAAAGTAGCAGTGAGCTGGAAGTTACTGCTGACAAGTAATGAATCTTATTTCTTTATTCAACATGCACCAAACAAATAGATTTAAATGCATTTATTCTCTCTGATTTTTATGCATACTACACATTGCAAATATAGTATAAAATAGATTCTCCCCTGTACGAAAATCTGGTTCCTGTTATGACAAAAATATAGTATTAAAGATTTATTTTTAAAATACCAACTTTATAAAATGCTAAGTAAAAAACTAACATCAGTGGTTGGTTTATGTATTAAGCCAAAGATATGTTAGAAGTCTACAAGAACCTAAAAGGGGGAAACTTCTTACTCTTGTGGCTTATCTCCAGGTACAGTGAGAAGTAGTTGCTGTTACAGGTGCATGAATAAGAAGATAATTTCTCTGTTATACTGGGTTAGCATTAAAGGACCTTTATGACAAGTAGCTCTAATTCTCACTGTAAACCAGAGTATAAAAGTTGCTCATAATCTTGATAAAATTGGTAGGCTTCCCTTTTGGGTTGAGTCATGTTAGAAAGATAAATTCAATTTAGTACAGTCTGCGAATCTATTTAAACTTTTAAATAAAATGTTGAATTAAGAAGCTGCTACCAAGAGGTAGAGCAGCATTTTGCAAGGACTTGTTTCCTACAAGAGTCACAAGAGAAGCAATGCTGGCTTTTATGCATCCATTCTGAAAACTTACTTTTCTATACTTAAGAAGGCCAAGTTAAAATTTCTGCACTGTTTTAAATACTGAAACTTTTCATAGAAGCAAGATACCTAGGATTCGGAAACTCCTTCCTTGTGCCACCTACAATTAACCTGCAGTAAACTGAAAACCTTAGCTTGAAGAAACAAACTGTAAACCGACTTGTCTGACATGCTTTAGAAAATCTGTAGATGCATAGATGTAGCTCCATCCTTCCACTTGTTAACATGGTCTGAAATAACAGTTCTGCAGAGTGGGCACGTTTTTTCTCTATTAAACCATAAAGAGATGCATTCTTCACAAAATGTGTGCTGTAATGAAAAGAATGAGAACTTAGAGCTTCTAAGCTCTTCCATTTACAAGACAGTATATTATTTGCATAGCCTGATTTCTAAAAACAATCAGAAAACATTCACTAACTAATCTCTGTGGTTTTGTTTACTAGTTGTTTAAATTACTAAGTTTGCAAAAAACAACTCTGATTGTGTTACCTGACAGATAAGCAGAATAGGCTTCTGAAATTCAGCTTGGCAGATGGAACAAATATCATCCGACTCAGAACACTGTCTCTTGCCAGCTGGCACCCCATAGTGCTGTAAAACAAGGTATTTGCAGCAGATTTAAGTTTCTGGGTTTGGGGAAAGCCACAAAACAGACACATGTCAGGACAGAATTATGAATAAGAGCTGCTCTGACAGAATTACTGAGGCTGGAAAGAGCTCTGAGATCATGAAGTCCAGCCTGTGACCTGACACCACCACATCAGTTAGACCATGGCACTAAGTGCCACCTCCAGCCTTTGCTTGAACACCTCCAGGGATGGTGACTCCACCGCTTCCCTGGGCAGTCCATTCCAATGTCTGATCACCCTTTTCATGAGGAGGTGCTTCCTGATATCCAACCTAAACCTCCCCTGATGCAGCTTCAGGCCATGTCCTCTCATCCTGTCACTAGCTGCCTGGGAGAAGAGCCCAACCCCACCTGACTCCAACCTCCCTTCAGGTGGTTGTAGAGAGTGAGAAGGTCCCCCCTGAGTCTCCTCCAGGCTAAACAACCCCAGCTCCCTCAGCCTCTCCTCATCAGACTTTTCCCTCTAGTCCCTTCACCATGAAGAGACATGCAGAATAGATTTTTTGGGGTGTTGTTTTTTTGTTGTTGTTGTTCATTTGACAACATAATCATGTAGTCAAGGAATTCACACTATGAAATACAACAAGTATACAGAGTTTACTGTAAAAATCCAGTTGTTTATTGCTAGACCATTACAAAGCAGTATAGGAATGAAATATTTAAAAAAAGTATTTTCATGCCAACTGGGTTTACTGTTTTGTCATAAGATAATTCAGTACTCACTGGTTGTGTACAGAATATCTGCAAGACCTGCCTGAAGTTTTTCAATTGTCCAAAAATGCTCAAAAGCTGAAATGGGAAAGAAAACCTGAGTTATACTTAGTATTTTTCTCTAGGAACTAAAAAGCTTCCAAGCTTTTGTGCAGATTCCAATATTAGAACTCTCACGACTAGTTTGATGTTGGCAGGAACATCAGCAAAGCTCTATAGTTCAGACCTAAATCTATTTTAGTTGCTTAATATGTAACCAAACTAAGAATTTAGCCTGAAGTTTTTTTCCTAGTAAGTGTCTGCTCTTAAAAAGTGTTGAGGTTCTGAAATGCAGCACTTAAGTACAAATACACCAGCATTATTATAATCCATGCAATAGTCTTCAGATTTGTAATTAAGGTACCTTAGCACTGTAAAGTATTTTGAGTATTTAAAGCTAAACTTGCACTGAGTCTGGTGACATTTGGGGCAGATTAGCTCTTTGGTCAAGGAGACAGCCAGTATGAACACTTCCGTTTAACTTGTTTAGCATCACCGGATACTTTAGCAGAGAGAAAATCTATTTTCCTGGAAAATGCTGATTCTTTCAGCCAGGAATTTTGCCTTTATTTTTACAAACTCTCTTCCTCGGTATCTGGTAACAGTCAGATCAGTGTTTGATGTGAGGGCACCTGCAGGACAGTATTTTTTGGTCTGCAGCCCAAATCTATTCCCAGAACTGGTGCAGGAAGATGATGATTTGCTGTCCTGAGCCATCTTCCCATCAGGTTTGGAAGGCTGTATCCATTAAACTGAAATATCAACAGTTCAAACACAGGGGCACTTTCAGAAAAGTGTTTGTTTCTCTAATCCTCCAGTGATCATGACTTCAAAATAATTTAAGATTAATAGAAAGCTTACATACTTTTAGGATGAGGTAGAGAAGGCCCAGCAATATCCCAAGGGTCTGTCCCAGTACAGTGTCCAGCTCCCCATAGCCAATAAGATAACGGAACCAAACTGGTATGGGGACAAACATACGGTAATACTGGCAGAGTTCTTCTAACAGCATGTACCAGTAGCCCTAAGCAAGACATGCAAAGGAATTGCTCAAGATGTAAAACACAAAGGATTATTAAAATAGAGAAAAAGCAGCACTGTTATTCTTTCAAGTAACTTCTCTCATCATCTGTTGAAACAACTACATGTGAAGCATGAAAAAGAATGAAAACCAGGTGATGAGTCTCACCACAACTGTACAAGTAACAGTAACACAGTTAATTATTGTAGTACGGAAAACCAAATTAATAGTCTAAAATAAGATGGCATTGTCAGATGCCTACCTAATTAACAATGCTATCAGACTTCTTAAGCATCAGAAAATAAAATTAAAGTTACATAAACATGTGGTAATGTACATCAGATTATCATTAGCAAAACTGTCCTGCATTCAGGATTAAAATAAGTTAAGGCCCTTTTATTATTAACAAACATCAATTACAAACTATTTCCCTGCAAACATTATCTCATACCTGTGTAAGAAGCCTTATCTTTTGATAATTACCTCCTATATAGGATGACAGAATAAGAAGATGGTCATGGGAGAGAAAGAAGCACAGGGGAGCTGAACTGAACAGATAAACAGAGTTCTAAAAATTACTGAATTATGATTACATTTTTGAAGAGACAGAAAATGCAGCTGTTTGCATGTGCAGATCTTAAAACTCTACCCATGGCAGTTACTGTCAAGCACATAAAAAACTGACCATGTATCAGCTGCTCCTTGGTACCTGCCTGTACACACATTCTTACACTGCAGAAAGTAAAAGGTTTCTTCATCCCTCCATTTAGAGACAGAAATAAATCTATTTATCTGATAACATAATACAAGCAATGGTTTCAGATCAGACTGGAAACCTTCCTTAGCACCATGCAGGGAAGAACATGAAACCCACAGGGTTTTCTTGCCTACAGTGTAGTGCTGGATTATGTACAGACCTTTAATGAAAAGTCTTTTCTCTGGATAGAATTCAATAATTAGCTAATTTTACCATTAAAGGATCTTATAAAGAAGAAAAAATACAGGTTGTTTTCTTACCTTTGATTTAAAGGACATTATAAAAGAAGGCACCAAGAGAATAAAGCACTTTAAGCCCATGAAGAGGAATTTCAGAATAAAGTCTGTGACTCCCACAATCCAAAGTACCTCCCAGAAGTTCATAAAATCCACAGTAGGGTTTAAGAAGATTAAGCTACAAAAAGAATTACCAGAAGTTACTGGAGCACCATATTTAGAGGAAAGCATACCAGAGATTATCACATCAGGTTTAATTAAAAAAGGGAACCTGGTTTACATAGCAGGAAAATATTTACTAAGAAAATTAACTCTTTATTGTAAATTGATAACACTTTTTTTAAGGACAGAACCTGTTCAGTTTGGCAGAAGAGAAGAAATGGAGATTAAAATGGAAGAGAAACCAAGGCCACAAGAAAAACTGCAGCAGCAGCCCAGGTAAAATGTTCCCAGTTAGTATTTTATTCTAAGTAATTTATTATATGAGTGAAAATATTCCTCTACTTACCTGTAATACAGTGACTGAGAATGAAAGGTGTAATACAAGAGGAGGGATGATCCAGTTAGATAAACTAGTAACCAAGCACATTGCAGCTTGGAGCACCGTTCCTGTAAGATAATGGTGAAGACATCACAGTCCTTATCTCAGCATCAGTATCTCCACAGCATCTAGTCTGTTGTACCAGAACAGAGTTACTACTAGAGGGGCAAATAAAATAGCAGAACTGAATGGAATGGTAAAGCAGTAATTTTAATATCTTTAACATAACAGTTTGTATGTGTAGCAAGGTTTGTTTATTTTTTAAACAGGACTAAATCCACCCTACAACAAATTGTGAAGAAACAACAAATTTTCTTTTGGAAGTGAAAGAGGCAGCTGAAAGTTTAAACTGTCAACTGCTATCTGATTCCACAAATCTGGTTAACAAGTCCTTCCATAAGCTTTTATCAGATGAAATTATTACAGTATTTTGAAGTCAAAGGGCAGGGGGGAGAAAAAACACTTGGAATTTTGCAAACCTTACTTACCTACAAAGTCCTGCACTATATAGAATAACACTTTATGGTATTTAATGTTATTTGGTAAATAGTATCTCCATTCAAATTTCTTTCAAAAATTGATGGATAAAGGTGTTGGTTAACTTACAGAGTTTTGCTGCACAGGGTGATACTTACTCTTAGAAAAACCTGATTTACTATGCTTTTGTTTGCATACATATAAGTTGTTAGCAGCCCAATTCCAAGAGAAATGCCTATTAGGAAAAAAGGGTCAGTTATACACAAGAAAATAAATAAAACATTGAACTGAGTTAAAAAACCAGCCACTTCTAATATATCTTTGTAATTACAATTAATGGCTCAGACTATCAAGCCATAATAATTAAGCACAGTGTATGTATGTCAGCAAAGGAAACAGAAGCCACTGAAATGTAGTTTAGCAAATCTCGCCTTCTGAAGAATAAAGCAAATAAAAATAAAGCTAAAAATAAATTAAATTATACTTCAGGCATGGTTATTAAGTTTATCTCTTTGGGGGAAGGGTCTGTTCCCTCAGGCCTTGTCTTGTTATACTCTACCAGTGAGGTGCTGCAGGACCAGTTTGACACACAGGATCAGGATGTAGGGCAGACTCTTGTGCAGCCACTGCAGGAGGTACTTGAGCTCTGAGAGGGAACTGCCCTGTTCCTCGGAGTCTGGAGTGGAATCCTCAGCTCCCCCTGCCTCGCTGTGGGCGTGTCTGTGTGAGCGGCTTTGGGAACCTGGGCGGGAATGCCGGGAACTCGCATTTTCTCTGGCTTCTCCCCCCGCAGAGCTCAGCTGGATGCGAACGTCTCTGCTGGGGTGGCCAGAGCTCTCTCCTGAGGACCTCGCTGCCTGGGCGCCCGGAGGAGATGAAGAGTCATTGTCACTCCCTTGGATGTTGTGGAGATGACTGCAATTTGGCTGCATGGTGGGATTTTATCTGGTGCAGATTCTTGCTGGTTTGTCTCCTAGAGCGGGATATAAAAAGTCACACTTGAAGGAAGAGGTAACTAGTTTGGGGAGGGAAAGAAAAAACAAAACCAACAACAAAAAACCCAACACAAACATTCAATAGGTTGTAACTGAGTGATTGCCTGTGTGAAGTAAATATGCTGAGAAATACTGTCATGTCTTCAGACTGACTTTGTTCTGAAAGCTGGCAGGCTGGGCTGTGGTGGTGCAGACCCCCCTCCCCAGCCAGCATTGTTCTTGCTTTAAGGACAAGGGCAGTGGGCCCAGCATTGTTCTTGCTTAATTGCAAGTGCAGGGGACTGGGACAGTCTGGTACCTTCTTGTCCTGATACAAGTACATTAAGTTGGGAGGTTGAAGCCCTCCCTTAATGCACTTGAAATGGCTGTTGCCTGGTAAACATTCCTGAGACCCGTCCTGCTGGGATCACCTGACAGGAATTGTGGCCATCATGGAAATGTACTGACCAAGTCAACTATTTCAGACCTTATAAATCATGACCCTGAGTGAGATCCTTTGAGCTAACTCTAGGCTGGCCTCTTCCATCCACCTCTACCTGTGTTTGAATTAGAAATTTGCCATCACAAGATAGGTGTCTGGATTTCACTGGCCCCAAGTATCACCATGTGTGCTTGTATCTTGTGTTTATACATATATATGTATTTATTTAGGATACCTTGTAGTAAGTCTGGATCTTGTCATTCTTGAATTTGTAATGAAGTTGCTCCTTTCATTATAACATACTCTACTGAATGACCTTTTTAATCTTTAAATTGGTTAAAGATTAAGTCCAATTCAACCTTTTTTTCCCCTTGTACTATTAATACATCTTGAATTGCTGCTAAATCATAACCATGTCAAATTACTTAAATCTGTGACTTAGGTTTGCACCCTGTCTCCACAGAGCAGCTTTCCGTGTGCCATGTTAAATGATGTCCTTTCAATCCTGGAGATTTTCTAGCCTGTAGTTTGCCAGCTGCCTTAGTAAAATACAAAGTTGCTTCAGTACAAACAGAAAAGCAGAAAGTTGCTGAACAGGAGACCAGCACTACCTTGTACAGAAGAGATCTCAGAATGGCTGCATAATTTCACAAAAATACTCCTAGTACTAGGCCAAAGAAGGAACAACGATGGGAAGGAAGCAAAGAGTACATTTACATGCATCCATAGTATGGTAAGTATTTGTTCAGACAAGTCTAGTCAAAACCCAGTGCATGCTCAAAATTGAGGGCCATTAGGAGATTATTGAGATTATCCTGTCTGGGTGAGCAGGACCATTTTGTAAGGAGCATTTACAAAAGCCTGGACCATATGGTCTAGGTGAAAAAAGAAATGCAGACAACAAGCAGTAATCTAACCATGAGACCACCCAAGGGAGGTTTTATTTCTTTCCTCTTGGCATCTCTCTGTTGTCTTCCTGAGCAGTCTTTCCGTTCTGTGTCAGTTTTTACATTGGTCAAATAGTGTTAAATCTCCTTCTGGACTGGTGTGATGTGAGAGTTATGATTCTGGAGAATTCTTTGAAACTGGATTTGGCACAATACTTGTCACTATCGAGTCCTATTGTTAAAATATTGTTATAATCCTTTTTTCAGTAATTCAAGCTGTTACAGCTTTCCTCTTTGAAATTCTTTTTTCCAAAGTTTAGTGTATATAAACAGCTGGTTTCACTGGGGAATACCAAAAAGGTTAGAGCAGAGTTAGGTTTGCTCTGCAATCCTTTAGCCTTTACAACGGAGATGAGTAAACTGCATGAATTTAAGCAATATTCCAATAGAGGAGCTTATTAACGTTTAGAAATGCTGCTACTACTGCGTTTTTGTTGGCCAGAGATGACATCATACTTGAGGGGAAATTCCTATTCTGTAATTTTATGCACATGAAGCAAACAAACCGGAGACACCACAGCCTTGTACCCGCAGTCACCGCGTGTCTGCAGCGTCAGGCCACGAATGCTGCTTTTAAAAGAGGGGGAACTAAAAAAACCCAAGGCATTAGCACTCCCCAGTGAGCGGTTCCGG